TGTCATCTAAAAGTATCTCTGTTTTCAGAAAAAAAAAAACAACACTATTGTTTAGGGGATAAATATTCGAAAAATCGTAATTTTGAACAATTAGTTTTTAATAAAATAAAACTTCACTTGTCATAAACACCATTTATATATATATAATATATGCCCACACACATATATACTAATTACTCATGTTTTGTTTTATTTTTATTTGGTGTTATATTTTTTTAAACATATTTTCAGATTTTATAAATTTGAGGACTAATTCTATAGTTTTGCTATCATCTTTAAGGATTGTTACTAATTCGGATTTTAATCCAAGACTATTTAGATGTTAGGTAAAATATGGGCATTCCTAAAAAATATGGTATATAGTTATGAAATGATGGTAATGTTGACATTTCGGATGAGGAAGATGTGAGTAAGTATACGCACTTTCAAACCAGGAATTTACATCTTTTTTTATCATTTTTAGTTCTCTTGTTCGGCTATGGACTGCCATACCCCTTTAATTTCGTCTTTGAGGGGTTTACTCGATTCTGATAGAGTCAGAACTGCTTTACCCCTCCTATGTAGCGCCAGCGCTTTTCTTGAGGCACGATCAGCCAATTCGTTTTCTACGATTCCTACGTGGCTTGGGAGTCATATAAATTTAACCGTCTAACCTAAATTTTGTAAAATGATTAAGTAGGAGTGGATGTTTCGAATACATTAAATCTCTAAGCCCATTAATGAGTTTAAAGAATCTGAAACTAATGTTATGTAGTTTTTGTTTAATGAAAAACAGAAATGAAGCGCTGCTAATATTGCATTAAGTCCCGCAGCGTATATATTGAAAAGTTTATGGAGTTTGATTTTATAGGTTACGAAAGTTGATGCTACTGATTGGTCTGATTTAGATTTAGATGTATATTATGAAGGTTTCCGCAATGTTTTGGAGAATGCGAGAAAGATGAATTTTAAATTCAGATATTTTCGGAGTATCCGAGTATAAAATCTGATTTTATACAAGAATTCTTCTTGAATTATAGAATTAAGTGCTTTGTAAAAGGTTATAAAGCCGACTTCACCACCATAAGAAACTTCATTTACCACGACTAAAATATACCAAGTTTCATTTCAAAATTTTGAAACGAAGAAAACAGAGTGAGCAGAGGGTGTGAAACATCCTGTATAGTAATACTTTCGTAAATTTCTTTGATCACTGAAAAAAGTGTATCAGAAAAAAAAAATCATTTTCTCTTTCGAAACATGGAGGCTTTAACTGAAAGGAGCACAAAAGGAATAAGTTCAAGGTATCAGGGGAGAAGAGTGGGGTGAATTTAATTTTCACTGGAGTCCCAAAGACCCCTTCATAATACAAAAGGATTAATACCTTCTTAGTGTTTGAATACGGTTTTCGAAAGGATGAAGAGAAAAAGTGACGCTAATGAAAAAATGAAGTCACAGTAGAAAGTAAGAAGGGTTTTTGGTTGAGTGTCAGGTTGATGTTTTGGCTAAACTGGGTGGAAGGGAGTTGTCTAAAGTAATAAAGGAAATGGACTCCTATCTTCCTGATGGCTCACTCCCGAGGGGTCTTCGATCTCTGGGTGCTACCCGTACCTCAATCGACAGCTCCTTTCCAACATCACAGCCTTATCTAAATCTATTTATATTCCTCTCCTCAGATTTCACGTAAACAAAAATAATTTGATTGTCGTGATTGAGTAAACAAGTTTTTACGGTCGAATAGAAAGAAATTAAATTGAATACTTAATAGTTGTAGATTTTTATAAGGCGTTGATTGTTCCAAGGTGGGTTGTCATTTTCGGATTGTTCAATGGGATCGTTTTGAAAAAAGAGATAGCTAAGGATATTCTCTCTGATAGTGGAGGAGTTGTATTTCGATTCGGTCTAAAATAAGACGAACATTTTGAATAAAAAATATATTTGTAAGTCGGATCGCATCTTTATGGGTACCGTTTGGAAGCTATGACCAATTTTAATCTTCTGAATAAAAGTGGCGTTACCCCGGATTCAGCGCAGAAACTAAGAATGGGACTTGTTTAAAATGCTCGGGTCTTAATTCTGATTTCGGTAGGGTGTACTGTGTCTAATTTTGCGAGTGATTGAGATCGGGCTGAGCCGTAGATGATTATTAACTCGGATCCACAAACAACTTTAGTGATATGGAAACAATCACAATGTTACATAATAACGGCTCTACAATACTGGAGTCATGCACTACTGTTACTTACTTCTAAGACCTATATGTAGTGGTGGGGAGAAGTTGCTGATGCAGCAGTACTTTATTGGGCTAAATCGTGTGTAACTGACGAAAGATCCATTGTCTATTTTGTGATCGTATCAGTACCTGGTAAAATCTGAGTAAATTTTAAAATTTACGGGACTAATGGTCTTTTTGGAGAACCCGATGAATTATGAATTCGGTATCAATGAATTTGCTGCTTGGATGATTGCGTCTAAGATTGATTCGCATCCCTTTTCAATGCTCAGATCGTATGGAGAGCTTTGAACAGCTAGGGACGTAAATTTGGGTCAATCAGCTAATGTGTGTAGTATTTAGAAGGAGTAGATCAGTTGGTTCAATGAAGTTTTAAATTATTTTATCTAGTGTATTAAATTATTTGAATCCCATAAAGGATACTGGCCATTTAGATCTCCGACAAAAAGAACAGGTAACTGATTAAAAATCTCCAAGAGATGCTGGGGGTCCTGTCCAAGTCCTGCTAAGGGATCTTGTAGTAAGTATAAATTACAGATGGCAAAAGTGAAATTGAAATGAATTTTAGCAGCTACAGTTCGGAAATTTGTATTTAGCGTTATTGATTCGGAATATATTGATTCATGTATAGCAAGAACACCGTGATGTGGGTTTGGGTCATATTTTCTATAAATTTCAAAATGTTTTAATGATCTATTTTCGTGACCTAAAATATGTGTTTCTTGAAGAGCTATATAAAACCAAACAAAACAAAACCGGTTCATGCCTCTAATTGGAATAATAAATAATAATAAAAATAATAATATTTTAAGAGAACTAAAATGTAAGTTGTTTATGGTTTATCTAATATTTGCATGTAGCACAAATAAGAGAAAATTATCAAATATCTATATATACACACAAATTAACATACCCACAAAACTATATACACACAAGAACATTTACGGTTAATAAATACATATGTAAAAATACAAAAAAACTATATAGAAATGTATCATAGTGAAAATAACATAGAGAAAGAATCATACATACATGTTACACCAATACATATCCATATAATAGAAATAAATGTATGGTACGCAGATAAATAGGTAAATTAACATAGAGTATATCTTTATTATAGAATAATAAGATCTATTTTCGTACTAATAAAATAAAAATATAACTAGGATGTTTGTTTATGATTGCTGCAGTGAACGTTTTTGAAATGCTTATTGATATGCCTGGCAGCAATAAGTAAATGTTTCGAGAGCTGTGAATAGCACTGTTAATGCTATTGCTGTAACAGCGAAGTCTATTTTTATCCGAGTGAAAATATTTATATTGCTAATTATTAATAGATGTGTTGGGGCTAGTTTTCTAGCTTAGCTTTCTAGTATAATATTGAAAAGGCTGTGAAAATATGCTGAGGAAATTTTAGATGATTACCAGTGTGGTTTTAGAGCTGGCCGCGGTACAACAGATCAAATGGTAGTTATAAGACAAATGATGGAAAAAAGCTACGAGTATGACATTGATCTGCACTTGTTATTAGTTGACTACAACCAGGCATTTGATAGCATCAAGAGATTAGCTCTGTTGAGAATGCTAATGAAGAGTGGAGTGCCACATAAACTAATTAATTTAATACGCATGACCATGGAAAATGCATCATCCAAAGTAATTATTGGAAATAAAGTTGGTCGATTGTTCGAGGTACAGTCTGGAGTGCGTCGAGGAGATTCCTTATCGGCAACACTGTTCAACATAGCTCTGCATGCTGCTGTGAAAGATTCAGCTAAAAAAGGCACCATCGTTGATAAGACCTGCCAAATTTGTGCTTACGCTGATGACCTGGTGATAGCTGCACGAAGTGAAAAGGAGCTTAAAGAGGCATTTGAGATTTTGTACGAAAATGGCAACATAATAGGACTTGTGGTCAATGAAAACAAAACTAAATACCTGAAACTGTCCTCGGCAGCAAGTAGAAGATCCTGCAATGAAATTACAATAAAGAATTTTAAGTTCGAAAATGTAATTCATGGATCTTGGTTCTGCCCTAAATAATGAAAATGTAATCAGTAGAAAAATAGACAACAGAATAATGGCTGGTAATAGAGCTTACTCTGCAAACCTAAAACTTCTCAAGTCTCCATTGTTGTCAAAAGCCACAAAAATAAAGCTGTATAAAACGCTTATTAGACCAGTAGTCGGCTATGGACCGGAAACCTGGTGTGGCGGAGGGGGATTAGTGGAGGGAGAAGGGAGTGGGTAGGAATAGTTGATGTCTGAGTATTTATAGTTTTAGATGTATAGCTAGTATAAGGGGACCTCAATTGCTGGAATAGAGTTCTGTGTAAAATAAAAGTAGTTTTTTTATCATCTTAGGTGATAAATGGTTTAAAAAGTAGTTTTTAATTAATGATTATAAAGTCTATCTTTGTAACTAATTTATTACAATAGATGTCAGATCACAGGAAAAGAAAGAATTAAAACTTTATAATAACTTATCGATTCTTACTTTTCTGAAAATGTAGATACTCTGGGGTGAGAGATTATCAAATCACATAATTTTTCACACAAGTTGAGGTGAATCTCAAGTCTAATATGCAACAAAACTCAACTAAATTGATATGCGATTAATTTTTGTTAAACATGGAAGTTTTTATAATAGTGGAGTATCTGTAGTCCATTAGTTGGGAGAAAGAAAAATCTGAAATAATCAACGATTTTATGAAAAGTAGGACATCACATAGTTTACGTTGCTTAAAAGCCTCCTTTAAATGGTTTTAACAAAGACAAACTCACCCTCCGCTTGAAGTAAGTTTAATCAACTTTAATGTGAAATATTTTTTGATTATCTAAATTAAATATTTTTTCTCTTTCTATTCAACAAAAAACAGGACTTACTTTTAAAAAACATAACTTAAATTTACATTTTGTTTACGCAAAATCAGACCATAGTTTTTATAAACTATTTAATAGCACTTGTGATCTACTATCACCTCTTTAAATATTTTCCGTTATTTACGGAACTATGTTTTCATAACTATGACTACATAACTTGAAAAAAAAAGTCAACATTTGAATTTCAAGCGTGCATTAACTATCTCCTGTTTGTTTTGCTTGTATTAGAATTTAGAATGAAATAATTTATAAATCTTCATTAAATTATAAGGCTCACACATGCCTGTTATCTCTACTTGTTTTCCTTCTTCGGTGCTTTTGCCTTAATTTTCTCTAATTGATCTTCCAAAAACGTTTTCTTATCATTTAAATGTTGTATAGTTTCTTCCCAGGATTGAAACCTCTTTTTTTTCCCCAGTTTGTCCAACCTAGTCTGAATTTCTTTTATCTTCCTCTCGATATCTTCCTGAGTGGGATCTGAGGTCGAGTATTTCTTCCAGTTGGGAGACCGACGGCTGATCATGGAGCGAAATTTGAATGCATCATTAAGAATTTTAAGCATCTTACGAGGTGAACGAATCCAATTCCTTTTTTTTTTTTGTTTTGTTATATTTTTTGCAATTTTCTAAACAGTTTTCTATGATCATGTGGAAATGAAACATTTTTTTCTTCTATTTTATTTTATCGACATCTCTGCAAGGCCATATGACATATATGATCAGTAAAAAAGATTTGTAATGAAATAAATGGCGGAGAGCTTAATGGTGCAGATTTTTCAGGCCTCGAAAGTACTTTTTATTAATGAGAAGTAAACTTATTTCTCATTCTCACTGACTCTAACTCTCCCTCTCTCTCTCACACACACACATTTATATATATATATATATATATATATATATATATATTTATAGTAAATTCTGTCATAAGGAAGTCAGTAATAAACTTCACCTCAGTTAATGAAAGGATAAGTGTGCTACGCATAAGAGGTCGTTTGTTCAATATCACGATTATTAACGTGTATACACCAACCGAAGAAAAAGAGGATGAGGTGAAGGACGATTTCTACGATCAGTTAGAAAAGGTTGTGGACCAGACTCCAAAACATGACGTAAAATTAGTCATGGGAGACTTCAATGCCAAGATAGGTCGCGAAACCCAATTTAACCCCATCATCGGAGGTCAAAGTTTCCACGAAACTAGCAATGACAGTGGAGTGAGATGCATTAGTCTGGCAGCAGCTAAAGCTCTAGTAGTAAGCAGTACGATGTTCTTGCACAAGGACATACATAGGTATACCTGGATAAGTCCTAAAGGAGCAAAAAGCCAAGTCGACCATGTGCTGATAGACAAGAGGCATCAAAGCTGCATACAAGACATAAGGAGTTATCGTGGAACATACTGTGATTCGGACCATACTCTAATTAGAATCAAACTCTGTCAGAGGCTGAAGCAAATCTACCGAATTGGGAACCAAGTGGAAAGAAAGAGGTACGAAGTCCGTAATTTGAAAAACTCTATAGAACAAGCTGAATTTCAAATTGAGCTGAAAAATAAATTCGAACCCTTGAACACGGAAGGCCTCACGGTTGACCAACACTGGGAGGCACCTAGAGTCATGGCTAAAACAAATAGCTAAGGAAGTAATAGGGATTCAGGAAAAAAGAAAAGCCAAGAAATGGTTCACAGAAGCATGCGAAAAGGCAGTGGAGGAAAGAAGAAAAGTCCTCTGCTTACGAACTGATCAAGCTATGCTGGATTAATACATAGCCGCCAGGAAAAAACAAACAAAATAATATGAACAGCCAAAAGAGAATTCCTCAAAGAAAGATTACAAACTATTGAGGAAAACTGGCCGGCTGGAAATATATGTGAATTCTTCGCAGATATCAGGAAAGAAAGGATAGGATATAAACCGAGAAATACACAAATGCGAGGGAAAGATGGCAAATTGACGGCATCAAAAGAAAAGATTCTAAGCATCTGGAAGGAACACTTCCAGCAGCTGCTTAATCAAGAGCACCCCACAAACGAAGAAGAAATGGACCACACTGAGGACATCGACCAACTTGAGTTTGAAAAACCAGATATTCTGGATGTGGAAATAGCTATCGGCAGACTTAAAAGAAGAAAGGCTCCAGGAATAGACAACCTACCATCAGAATTGTTCAAGGATGGGGGAGAAGAACTCAGAGCCAAGCTGTTAGTTCTAATCCAGAAGATATGGGAGAAGGAACGGATATCAGAAGCAAGGTTGATCTGTTTTATCCTTAAAAAAGTCTCCATGTATGAATGTGCTAATTACAGAGGCATAGCACTTCTTTCGGTCGCCTAAATAATGATTAATATTCTGCTAAATCGGATATATCCGTATTATGAAAACATAATATGCGACCATCAAACAGGATTCAGGAGAGGGAGGAGTACGCTAGAGGTTGACAAAGGCGTGTACAAATGATCCTAAATGCAGAGTACTAATACAAGGAGAAGTATCTGAAGCCTTTGAGTTCGAACGGGTTTGAGGCAGGGAGGTGGAGTCTCGCCGATGCTGTTCAACTTAGCACTAGAGAAAGTAATAAGAATAACATCACGCGAAGATGGAGGGGTGCACGTTGGAATGAAACATAAAATCCTAGTATATGCCGATGATATAGCTGTCCTCGGAAGTAATCAAGAGGATATTGAGAGACTCGCTCGGACTCTATTAAAATAAGCAGAGCAAATCGGACTACAAGTCAATGTAGATAAAACAAAATACATGATAGCTAGCCGAAACATCCACCCTAATAACATGATCTGCGTGGACTTTATGAGTCATTCTCGACAGTAGATTCAAATTCCTCGGATCCACAATAATCTCAATAAATGATCAACTAACAGAGATAGAGCAGCGAATAACAGATCTTTCTTCTCTCTTTCAAAGGTACTGAAATCCAGAAAAATCTCCAGAAATCTCAAAATAAGGGTGTACACCGCCGTGATTAAGCCATTTCTGCTGTACGGTTGCGAAACCTGGGCTCTAACCGGCACATTAGAAGCCAGAATTGAGAGATTCGAAAGAAAAGTTCTACGTAGGATAATAGGACCTATACGGGACCAGAACCTTGACACAGTAACGGGTCAGTCAATATCTCATGACATGAAGGCAAGGAGGTTAAGATGGGCAGGGCATGTAGCTCGTAGCAATCCATCAGGACGCCTTTACACGACAATGAATGCCAGAGTAGTAGGCAAGAGACCACGTGGAAGGACAAAACCCAGATGGATAGATAGGATAAACAAAGATACGGCTGAGCTTCATGCCGCAAACTGGAAAGCAGTAGCTCAAGATAGGCAGAGGTGGAGAAGGCTGGTTCAGGCGGCCAAAGAACAAGGTCTGTAGAGCCAACCGAAAAAAAAAAAAAAAAAAAAATATATATATATATATATATATATATATATATATTTATATATATATATATATATATCGCTACTGTTAGTACCAAAGATCGTGTGTTGAATATAGATAAATAAAATATGAAATTATACTAATAAATAAAAATTTGACCAGTTATACAGACTACTTTACAGAAAATCTAACCTTTCAATTGAAAACGAACTATTAATATACAAGACCGTACTCAAACCCATCTGGACCTACGGACTTGAACTGTGGGGGACAACTAAATTATCGAACATCAAACGCATCCAATCCTTCCAGTCTAAAATCCTCCGTATAATAGTCAATGCTCCTTATTATGTTACGAACAAAACCATACATCATGATCTTAACATCTCTTATGTCCTTGACGTTATTCCATCCCGTTTCTAAAATTGTCATCAAAACCTAATCCCTTAGCAAAATCCTTATACAGCTCCAGCCATCCCACAAACCCTCTTTCCTTATCTTTCACACGTGAAGGAAAGGGCCCGACTTGGAGCTCCCTCGGCTGACTTTAAATATGCACGAATGTTTTTTTTTTTTTTTGTTTCTTTTTTATTATTTCTGTTGTCTCATATTTTATTTCACCTGTTTTACTAAGCTTTCTTTCTCTTATTTTTGTTATAATTTTTACTATTTTTGTAATTTGTAATGAATGTGTTTCTTACATCTCAAATGCCTTGATCGAGGCAAAATATATTTTTCTCTATAAAATAAAATTAAAAGAAATATAAATAAATAATCAGTTTTTTTTTTTGCTTTCTTGTAATAAAACTGTTTATTTTTTAAAATTTACAACCACAAGAGCCGACATTCGGAAAATATTATAAGGGGACGTTTAAGTAGTTAAACTATGGCAATTTTTTTTCATAAAATCATTGATTATTTATAATTTTTTTTAATCCCTCGACTGGACTATAGATATCTCATTTATAGAAAACACCCTTGTTTAATGAGCTTTAAGTCGATATAAATTAAGTTGAGGTTTATTACAGAATAAGTTGGGAAGGGGAGAGAGGTGAGCAGAAGGGGATTTTCACGGTGAACATTTTTGAATGGGAGAGGTACATTTTGACGGGTTTTGAATTTTTGAGGGATTCTTTTCAACGTAGTTGAGTGAATTTTCGAAATAAAAAAATGTATAATATCCAGAAAAAAGCTTTATTTTACGCTTTATATATATATATATATATATATATATATTCCATGCTTGGATCATTTAAATGAATTAAAATATGCGATAAATATATATGGGTAAAATAAAGCTTTTTTTGACATTATAAATTTTGTTAGTAGAATTTTGTATTTAACAGAAAATGATATATAATAATCCTATGTATATCAATATTAGTAAACATTTTTAGAATGAATTATTCTTTTTCTTGTGAGAAAAGTAATATGGTATGTAGTACATATCTTATTTCTTATTATTTAGATATAATAAACTGTTGTGTAATAATTTTCAGCTTTATGATTTACAAAGTTACTAACTGTAGATATCTGTGGATATATGTGGATATATATATACTCCAGGGAGTGGAGTAGCTCAGTGGTTGGGTACTGAACTTCCAACGCTAAAGGTCCCAGGTTCGAATCCTGGCTCATGGCAGAAAATTGGCGACCCTGGGTCGGAAAACCCTCCTGGGGCACACCCAGCCTCTATAAAGTAGTTACCTTTAATTAAATGATAAATTAAGGGGGAAAACCTGGCGGTTGAGCGTGATCTCGGTCAAATCACCTCCTTACACGACCGTTGACCTAGAAACAGTGCTTTCCCTAAGTAGTACTGAACCTAAGACCCTTCATGGGTTATATATATATATATATATATATATATATATATATATATATATATATATATATATATATATATATATATATATATATATATACATACATATATTGATCCTTGGAATAAAAAGGGGCAATATCCAAAACTTTTAAATTTATACCAACTGCTAGATAAAAAACAGAGGTATTAATCGTTTGAAGGGCCAATGTTCTCTTAGCATTAGTTGCTGAGACTAATAATGCTAGGACAAAGCCCTAACACAATTAATTCTTATATTTCTTAATCTGCCCTAATCTCTCATCTCCTGTTCATTCGGAATTTAAAATTTTGGGCAATGAACCTTTCCTTCTTGAGCCAGTATACGTTGTATCAATAAGTAATTATTTCACTAGCTAATTTCAAAATATTTGGTTTTGTTGAATTAATTATTAAATTTGTTATATTGCTATAAATATGGAATGTTATATACTTCATTTTAAATAAAATATTATCTATATATAAGCCATTAGATGTTTATCAATTTAAAAATTTACTTGCTCATTT